CAATATAAGTACAAGATATAGAAATAATAACAATATACAATGATAAAATCTCAAAATGGAATCAAATAGAGTACCAAAATATCAAAAGAAAGAGTAAGTCATATCATAACGCAAATATATATAAATGGAGGGATTTTCCAAAAAACAAAATTTTCAAAATAGATTCTACAATACTGACTTTTAGTTGAATGGAAACAACCTACTCTCTCCCCAATCTTCAAAGGAGGAGAAAAGAAGGACCCATTTTGTTACACACCATTAGCATCACTACCAGTACCATCGAAATTGATGGAAGGGCTGTTGAACGAATAAGTGAGGGAGTACATGGACAGTTGGAAATCCTGCTGGAAATAAAAAATACTGGCGCACATAATATTTCTTAACTTTGCAAAAGCCTTGAACTTAGAGCCCAACGCACTCCTGATTGCGAAGGTTGCGGAAATGGGCTTCACTGACCCACTACTATCTTGGCTGAGAAACCATATTGAGAATAGAATGTTTCGCACCGAGGTAAAAAAGAGTGCACGTCGGTTGGCAAATCTCAAAATCAGGAGTTTCATAGAAGGCTATCGTAGGTCCACTACTTTCTGATATTCATTAACGATCTGTTTGACAAAGATTGCTTATCGGCACTAACCAACGCAGACGATGCAAAGATCTGGAGTTCCATTATAAGCAAAGAGGACTAGACTGAGCTTCAAGAGGACCTTACATCTAATGAGGACCAGTTGAAATGTTATGTAATGTTCGTTCTGCCCCACATGACGCAAACGATTTACCCTCCTAATGGCAGTTCGCTCCCTAATATCTTCTTAGAGTACGATATCGGTTTAATAACCACTGAAAGCCTCCAAACCTGTTCGAACAATTAAGGGAACACAGTAGAGGCTTATGCGAAGAAAACTTGGTGCTCTCACCTCAGAATCATTATCGGCGTTGTTTGAGGCATATACTCGCCAGCATCTGGAGGTTCAACAAGTCATCACACTCCCCCTCCTTAAAAGAGAAATAAAAATCTTTGATTGAGTATATAGACAATAGAGTTGAAGAACAGACATTACGCAGATACACTCCAGCACTTAAGATTATTTTCTCTGAGTTGAAGAAGAATCAGCGATTGTCTGATAGTGGCGTACAACATGTTAAGCACTCCAAATCATACAAACGTGAGCATCTTATTGAAGCATAACCACCAGGCCCCTCGAGGTAATCCTCGAAAAACTGTACAGCGATGAGCGAACACCCAGGTTCACGCACACTTTCTCTCAATAAGAGCCTGGAATGCTTTCGCAGCCGAGGTGACTACAGCCCCCTAAATGGACAGTTTTAAGAAGAGACTTGATAATCACGTACTCACATACGGATTATCATCTACCTCTGTATCTGGTGTATGTCTTGAGACCTGCCAGTTACTATTGTTGCTATCTCCTCAGATCACTAACACTATCTAACTCGCCTAGTATCTTTATTTCTTCTCACCTGTTTACAATTCGGTCCTCACGCACAATCTTCACTACTAATTAATAAACTAAATTATCCATTTACTTGCTTAGTTTTGGATTCTTGTTGGCTTTAGAATCCTCCTTTTATTATTCTCCAGATCGCAACTAACTGATCTCCGGCATGGCAATGTAATAGCTACTAATATCCAGGAATCCTACTGCCCTGAAACAGACGTATTCGTTCAAATCACGGGACACACAAACCACTGTCATATGACTAGAATTAGACAGTCGAGTGGCTAAATCACCATTAATTGGACACTACCGAACACCTGGAACCGTAACGAAAGAACAAGAATCTAGTGCAAAGAAATCAACTGGTTTATACTAGCTCGTGAAAAAATATTGGATATTGTATATTCGGCGCATCAGTTGACCAGTAAACGTGTTTACTGCACAGTGAGTATTCATTTGTTACATAACACATTTTCGGAACAAAAATTATAGTCTGAAATCTTTGTTTAATGGATATATTCCGCGTAGTCCAGTATATTTTGCTTGGTATAAGTAGACGTGTTCATGTAACGGATCTTAAAATAAACCGAAATACCGCGACCAAACTTATACTGAGTAGAACACTTGAAATGTGTATGTCTGCGTCAGTTGATTGAAAAATTTTTACAGGTCTTAATTAGTGACTCTATTTATGCATGACCCAGGGACCCATAAATCAAAACCGGTATCGAGACATAAGAACTAACTTGAAGTTATGTATGCTCAAAGTTTCACTGCACGTCGGTCCAAGAATTTTTAGATTTTCTATCCGACAACTTATTATCAAAGCATTCGAAATTTCCAAGATCAGCCGTTTACTAAGTATTACAAGTTATGAAGAATGACCACTGGATTTTGCCTGTCCTTAAAAATAAACGTCAACCAGCGGATTTGGTTTTGTTATTTTTTTGGTTCGCCTTGTTGGAACTCTTAGACTAGTCATTGAACCTCCTGTGCAAATAGCTATTGTAGGCAGATTGCTAAATTCCAGTTGTATTGTCTCCAGAAATACAAATTCCCTACATACGAATCCGTTCAACTGAACACTACTGTTCAGCGGTCTTATAACTGCCATGAAGAAAGTTGCAATAAGTTTTCAAACTGTTTACCTACCATTCAGAACCTTGTACCTAAATATATATTACGAAATAATCTTTGGAAAATGAAACTATTTAGTCGTATTATTTACCGAAACAGTGAGTTCCTGACCCACAAGATTTTTTTTGAGAACGAGTCCTGTGAATCTATAATATCTTCATAACCACCCAATAGTCAACTAAAGATGCTAAGAAGAAACTCTTAAAAGTCTGATTGACTTAGGACCTGGTCACGAATTAACCAGTCAGTTACTTTTCATCAGATTCAGTAACAGGCACGTTCATTAACTCCTGAATATAGCCCCGTTTATTGGTACTCATATCCATCGATGTTTTGTAGCGTGTCGGGAACATCAACCTTCTGAAAGTTCTGTTTTTGAAAATTATCGGTCGAATCACAACATGAAAGACGAAATCTAAGCACGAACACAGCTCTCATGAACAGCACTAACTTACCCTACTATTAGAATAGATGGAATACCTGTCTATCAATGAAGGTGGAAGTATAGTACACAGCAATCCTTTCTGTAGTACTCCATGATGATACGTTTCATGTAACCGACTGGTCGCGGAAATTACAACTTGGTCGTTGACATGCAACCCGACCATAGCTGATACCTTGACGTGATGGCCGGGCTTGCCTATCGTGATGAACCAACCGAGCTAAATTGGCTGCAACATATGTTCCTGGAGCTTCTACCATGCCAGGCAGGTCGATTGGAGAACGGTGAAACTTGAAACACATGAGACCGTATCAGTCACAATCAAATCCTTCCTACAACCCCCAAAATCCCATCTCTACGACTAACCCTTCTCACATTCCTTTACCACCGCATACCCTGAGCAGCAATGCATGCATGTTCAGGATGCGATCTCCTACCTCGAAATGCAAAGTATTGCCTCAACATTGGGTTGCATCGGCACCTGAACTAGTGATAAGGAGTGAAGCAGTTGAGCATGTTGACCGCTTCACTTATCTCGGGAGTCTCATCACTACTCATGGACTGGTGTGTGACGAAATCTCAGCACGGATACAGAAAGCTCGACTGGTTTTTGCCAACTTGCGTCATTTATGGAGTAGGCGAGATATCCGTTTGCTAACCAAAGATCGAGTGTACGACGCAGCAGTTCTCTCTTTCGTACTCTACGGATGCGAAACATGGCCGGCAAGAGTAGAAAATATTCTTAGGTTACTGGTTCTCGGTTATAGATGTCTTCGAAGTATTGTTCGTGTATCCTTGATCAACCGAGTAAGCAGTGCTGTCGTTAGGAAACGAGTACTAGACAGGGATGAGAAATCAATAGAAGTAGAAAAACTCCATCAGTCGAGGTGTTTGGGACATGTGTTACGTATGCCCTACCACCGGCTGCCTCGACGAGCTATGTTTTGTGGTGTAGGAGTAAGTTGGAAGAAAGTTAGGGGTGACCAGAAGAAAACATGGCAGAAATCCATGAAGTCGCTGACAAGTGGACTGAATCATGTTGGTAGATGTAGGCTACCTGGTTGGTGTCCGCGAGATGAAAATCACCGGTTTTGAGACCTTGAATGACATGGCTCAAAATCGTTTGCGATGGTGCAGGTGCATTTACTCCCGAACCCTAATCTTGTATCATTTATGGCGTGGTTATGACATCCGTCTGCTGACCAAAGGACGAGTTTACTGCGCATCGGTTCGCTCCGTCCTACTATACGGGTGTGAAACATGGACACCAAGATTAGAGGGCATTTGTACGATCTTAATATTTGACCATATGTGTCTTCGAAGTATTGCTCGGCTATCCTGAGACAATCAAGTAAGCAACACTGGGGTTAGGAAAAGGATTCTACGTAATGATAGCAAATCAATTGATGGAGCATTTAAACTTCGTCAGTTTAGATGGTTGAGGCGTGTGTTACGAATGCCCGACCACCGACTGCCTCGACGAGCTATGTTTTGTGGTGTAGGAGTATTTTGGAACAAAGCTAAGGACGGCCAAACTTAAACATGGCAGAAATCCATGAAGTCACTGACAAGTGGACTGAGTCAGGAAATCAAGTATAGGTTAGACTTCCCTGATGTGTGTCACTCAGTCTGAGGTTCAATGAAATTTTTTCTAAATACGACGCTTTTCATCATAAATGGAACTGAGAAAGCGAATGTAAGGAGACTAAAGGTAGATTTACAATAATTTCAGAAACTGAAGGCATTCTAAATCACGGGCTTAACCATGTAAAATACGTAAGTTAGTGTGAACATGGTTATTGTAATTATTGTCACTGACTAGTGAAGTATGGATAACAGTAATACAAGTATGATGCAAGAAAATAACGATTTTAAAACATCCTTTTGTCCAATATTCATCAAATATTTTCTTTCTACAGACCAGGTTACCTGTTGTACCATCGTACTAACAATTGTATGCACAAATGACGGAAGTCCAAGTAAGCAACGGTTTAGGTATCGATGAAAACCGTCCAGAACGTACTTATGAAGAACAAATGCAATGTGTAGGTGTGTTCGCTCAGCCTATGGCTTCAGAAAAATTAACAAAGCGTTTGTATAAGCTCGCTCGTAAAGCTAAACGCGTAAAGAAAACAGATGTCGGTATCAAGGCAATCTTAAAAGCCATAGAAAAGAAAGGTGTATCTGGTATCGTCGTGTTGGCTGGCGATATAAGTCCATTTGATCTTATATCCCATGTGCCAGTGGTGTGTGAGGAGCACGACATACCCTACTGCTATGTTCCATCAAAGTTTGACCTCGGTGCATGTGTATCTTCAGTTACTCCCATACCTATTGTTTTCATAACACGTGATGAACAGTATGGTGGTTTGTATGATAAGTGTTACACTGCGGTTGATGCATTACCCCTTCCTTTATAAAATCTCTGTAATCAAAATCAATAAATTTCAATAAACCTATTATTGCACTCATTCTTTTGTACAGTCGCTTTATGCATTCCAATACTTGATAATGATAGTACACGGATTTTATTTGCATGACTTTATAATTATTTATTGCCAGTATATATTTTGAATATGTAGACCAACAAATGAATTTGGGCAATAAAGCTGTGTCCAATGCTACTTGCTACAATCCTATATAAGGTCAGTATTTTTGTTTTACTACCCAGTTTCCATTCTCTTACGTAGTGCCAATTAAGGAAAGTAATATCATCGACTATGATCAGTGGGTGGTTTACGTACTGCTGAATGTCAGTCAGATATACTGCTATCTTATTATTGAAAAGCTTATCATGTACCAGCCAACATATTTGATACTAGTAAATGGCTCAATAATAAACGAAAATAATATCAAACATGACAAAAGCGCAAAGCCAGAATGAAGCAAGTTAGGGAAGACCATTGAATACTACAGTTACAGATTTGTTTTGGCTACAATCAACATCAGAAATACTACCTACTTCCCAAATCCTTTTGAATGTCTTAAAAGCTTTCTATCATACCCATTGTTCTCTATCAGTGTTAATGTCCATTTATCACAGCTGTTTACTTTCGTAATATTTGTACAAAAATATAGTTTAAAAGCATGATATGCGAATATATAAACTGATTTGTATGAGGTTGGAGGCGGTACAGTTTCTATAGCATTGCATTTTGACATCTTTTCTTCATGCTCAGTTTGCTCCCCTTATCGTACTGAAAAGTCACAAAATGATCTATTACTGGAAAAGCAGTTTATTCAAGATTGCAATTTGAGTCAGCACATACCTGGTCATCGTTCTGGCAACCACCCCTAGGTCAAAAACTGTGTTCAAGTCTCAAGAGAACATCAAAGTTTGCGTGTAATGAAATATATGTTGATTCATTGACATTCGCACCAGAGATAATTGTTTTAAATCATTTCTTAAAGCATAAATGAAACCAGATAACTTTCTTCCTTTATTAGTTGAAACACTAATTTCTCCGTTATGGCTACTAGTTTATCTCTAGGCACCGTGTTCGCATCTTAAAATCGACATTTCTGTGATAGTTTAATCAATGTATGATATACTAAGAACGACTAGTTCTAACTAACATTATTCTAAGCTATTAACGCAAATATACTGCTTACTGCTGATTGGCAGTGTAGTGAAATAACACTAAGAGAAGCGTACTAAAAAATGAGTATATTACTGAAGAGTAGAAAAATCTAACCATAGCAATAGAAAAAAATAAAATGAACTATTTTTTAAGAACAAATCAAAATGAAGTTTTACAAAAGTCATATAAAAATGAGCATAGATTTTGTTTTAATTTCTACCAAAAGCTGCGAGGTATTCAAAATGATAATAAAAACGATTACTTGATGTTATTTCTGGACGTCGTTACTATCATTGGAAAGTAAGGGCAAGGAGAGTTTTTCCCTGATTAGATTTTCTAAATAAAATAAGAACCCATGAACGTTCTTGTAGCCTAAAACATGGTATAAAAATAAACGGGTTAAATATAAACTGGCTATCAGTTAACTATAAAAGCGAGTTAATAGAATGTGGCTCTATTTTTAATTGTATTTATCATCAAAAATGTGATGATAACGTTCCTTCTATCAGATTAATCTTGCTATAATGACTGAGATATTTCTACAGGTTTATGTGCAAAACAAATCGTATGAAGGATCTACATAAGTTTTTTCGTTGTCCCGATTGAGGTTACACAATAATGCCTTAGTCTGTAAATATTAATTCTGATGTGCGCTAGTCAAACCTCTGCCAGAACAAAACATATCAAACGAACTACCGTCAAAATATTCTAATCTTCAGTCCAAGTGGATTTAATTATAGTTAATGTACAGACAGTTCACTAACTTGGGAAAATATTTAAGTCGATGATAGCGTATTTGTTTGATTTCGAGAGAGTATTAGATGTGGAATCATCGGTTGCACAGACGAGATCTATACCGAACAAATCGATTTTTAGCGTTTTGCGAATTTCTTGTGCCAACATATTGAATAGAGACTCATCATGTGGAGTACTCGTTTGTTGGTCGAATAAGGTCAACTAAAATGAAAAATTAATCGACTTATTAGTGCAATAATCAACACATTTCTGAGCATCAAAGTCATTAGTAGTGTTATTAAAAGCTTCATTGGTGGCATCAATTAACTGTGTAGTTCTATTTTTGCATGCGAATTGTCGACAAGATCAATATACTATTTTACAGGATACAACCACTGTGCCATGAAAACTCTTATATAGTAGTAGATATTAAACATAGTATGTGTAAATTAGAGATAAGTAACAACCATTGGTTTCAGTCTGTTATCTTGCTAATCACTCAAGCGAAACATACCTTGGATAGGCAAAAGATATCTCTTAAGGATGTTGATAACTATGTTGTTCAACGACATTAAACAACCAGTATATAGGGCGGTGTTACTAGTAATATTTCCCTGTTTACTATTGGATTTCAATTACATTAATTCATATTTGATAATAACTTTTGAATAATACTGCTATCTGCTAAGGATATAATTTGTACCTCATTTCTTGTTACAAACCGTGATAAATGTTGATTCACAATGTTTGACATATGTAGTCAGTGCACATTTATGAATTTACTGTATCATTTTTGCTTCCTGACAAAACCTGACGCCTGATCTCATTACCAATGAAACAGCGGTTTCAGTCACTAACCAAGTGATCATAAAAACACAACATATTCGGCAAATTCAGTAGAATGATTATCGATATTTAATATACTCGTGACTAGACAGCAATCCGAGTACCTTACCCATATTATATACTCTGAAATAGGAGGACCCAGCTAGATTTTCTTCATTTGATGCGACACCTTTCTGATAACAGAGATTCTACGCTTGATACACTTTAGATGTAGTTTACACACTGCCACTTTGTCACGAAGTGCATTACTCCGACAGCATCTATTTACAAGTACCGAGCACAAAGCATGTGGGAATTAATATCTGTTCACAACTCAGCTCTTTGGAAATGGGGCATCATGATATCAAACAAAACAACATAACGGTTTTGCGGAGATATTGGTGTACGAAGTCTATACATAGTTATAGTAACAAAACAGCTCACATATGCCAAGAAGGGATGATTTCTACAGTTCTAATTACTGATGCGAAGGATGTCATACACTTGGTTTGGATGTCACTTACAAAACTATCAACCTAATTGAATATAACATTTGGGTCAAATACAGCTTATTTGTTGGTCGAGTAAGCGTATTTATACTTTGACAGGCGATTAGCATAAATACTTCTACTCTACAGACCTTGGGGTTTTGGGAAAAGTGTAATCCTGTCGAACATGGTGGTCCAGGTTTACAACAACTATGGGCAGTGGTAACGACTTGCAACGTGTTGAATAAAAGTTTAATGAATGTAAAAGTGTAATAAAGATACCAATACTTACTTCAGATAAAGGCGACTGACAAGCATCTTTTGAAACACTATGTGAATGGAAAAATATTGGAGTTCTATCTAGTGTGGAAAAAAGCAGTAGTATACGTACAAATGAGGGAGGAAAGTTAAGATAAACATTTGAGTAACATGAGCGAACGAAAAACGGTATCATAATCATTTGGAATAAGTATCAGGGCTTAAGGTTTAGGTTTGTTAAATTTACAACTTTGTATATAATAACTGAAGTGATAATCTCACTAGTTACGTAGTTAGACCAATCCAGTTATACATAAACTAGGCAGACTTTGACCAAAATAAATATTTAAAGTTATTAAGTATCGAAATTTAATTATTAAAACAAACTTGTTAACCGTATGAAAGATTGTGTTGTTGATTTCATCACAGATCAACAGACAGAAATTTCACAGTGAAAATAACTCGAATTTTATATCGTTATAATTACTACTCATTTGAAGTCCCCATAGATTCATCCATTGACTAAAAACTAGATGTATGTGTACGTAAATTGAGTATATTATGCTTAGTTTTCAATAGGATGTCGATAAGTAGGTAGAATGTCCTCCATTTTAAACAGCATTTATTAGCTTTCGTTTTTCTGAAAATGCAATCGTTTTATTCTCGAGTGATTTTCTTCTAATCTGTTCTCAGCTGGCTTGAATTTGTTTTAGCTTGATATTCGAAAATTCTGTTTTAACAGACAGCATAAAGGTATTGATAAACAGATATACCTACATATCATCTATGTAAAAATAGTACATTCTCTTCCAAACTGTAGAAAAGCTAGAGGTGGAAGTTATTCATCGTTTACTCTTACAATGTTTCAACAGATACTTATGATTCATTATTGAATCATGTCGCATTGTTCAATTAACAGTTCAGTCAGTCAGTCAGATGCAACGTAGAACTTTGTACATAAGTACATCAGTTCATGTTGCCATACCACATCAGCACAGAGATGTAATTGTCAATTCAAATCCAATAGTAGAAGAGGTAGTAAAGGTATTAGAAGTAATCGGAGAGGTTAGGATGAGAAGATATTATTCATGAAGTATGATTAAATGAGAAAAGTTTAGAAAGTCAAAACTAGAGGTGTTAAAGAATCCAGAAGATTAGGATTTGAGAGAACACAAAGAGTAAATGCACTGGCGCCATTGCGAACGATTTTGAGCCATGTCATTCAAGGTCTCTAACCATCGATTATTATCATCTCGCGGACCCCAACCAGGTAGTCGACAATTACCGACATGGCTCAGTCCACTAGTCAATGACTTCATGGATTTCTGCCATGTTTTGGTTTGGCCGCCCCTAACTTTCTTCCAACCTACTCCTACACGAGTATTAAAATGTTGTCCAAGCATTTCATTGTAATACTTGGACGATTCTCATGTGAAAGGACAGGCTCAGTAAAGACGAAACATATGTTATCCTCGCCACAACAACAAATATTCATTAAAAGTAGGTAACTTTGTCTACAGAGTAAACATAGTATTCCTGAAGAGAAATGTCATTTACCGACAATAAAGGACATTGGAAGGGCTTAAAAACAGTGTAGCGATATCATACTGTATTGGCCTCATTTTACTGAGCTCAGGATAGCTATTAAGTTACACAAACTATTTTTGATTTGCCTTTACTGCAATCTGAACAGTTTTGCTGCTTATTGTGCATTCGATCTGCTATTTTATTGTAATTGAAATAAGTTCACAACAAAATCTCGTAATGGGCTCCCTGATATAATTTTTTTAGTAATATACGATTTCGCAACGGATTCGCCAAAAAAACTATAGGAAACCAGTCGGGATCTTGTACACTGGTTATCAGGTCAGGTTCAAGCGAGACATTAAAATATGTCTTTATCAACAAGTTATTATTATAACGTCCACTAAATTATGTAATCCGATTTATCTTAATTATGTGAATCTATGATGAAATAAATTAATAATGATATTAAAATAAACTTCAACCATAAAAGCATCTAAATAGTGGAGAGTGTGATCTGAAACAGATGAATTTTAAATTAACAGTAACAATCATAAAGTTCACCATTAAATCAAATGCAGCGGCAGTTTTTAAAATAGTATAATCAAGTTAAAATGTAAATCTATTTTTGAGGACAGAATATATTTCAATTAAACTCATAGATTATTTTTTAAAGGTATTTAAACATACCATTAGTAAGGACAATGAACAAACAGTAAAATATATACAATGTTGCGTGACATTGAAGAAATAAGGTTATCCTTTATCATACGAAACAATAACAATAGTTTTAGTTTTATTTAGTACAGTTAAACGCAAGAACTGGTACTTTCATCAAGTAAGAATTTCGATGGTTTAAAACATCGATTATTAGTATACAACCAAGTGTATTCTTAAATAAAACCAAGCAATGCACAAAAACGGAAAAACGCTTAATAATAATTTTAGCCCAATGTATTTGTAAATAAATTGTCTTAGGTGCATTCACAAGTTGATGCCGAATGCATTCAAGCTTAACAAAATAGGTGTACTTTTTAAATAGTTAAATGTTTCAGTATACGAATGACTTTTAGTGTAAACTTTGCAAACCTTAGTTTTAAAAAGTGTTTAAGTGCTATCCCTATGGTTAAAAAACGCATTAAAAGAAAGTGAGATGGAACAGAAAATCTCACGTCATTGAAGTACTGAAAATTCGTACCAGAAAGCAATTATTCACTATTATTACTGCCGTTATAGCAAAAATAACACTGGTTATTTGACTGCTTGAGTTCATATCAATAACAATGATGTAAGTTGAAGTATATTGGACGATAGTTAAAGCTCACGAAAATCGTTAAGGGGATACACAGACATATGGCGAAATTGTGGTTATTTTAGATTATCGGTATTCCTATCCAAAGGACATGGACTACAAAGCTAAATCGGTTCAAAGCAACAGTAAGTCACTTCATAGATGGATGTCATGTCTTGATACGACCACTTTGAACTCATCTGCACATAGTTATAACACAACTAGTGTTGCAAATAAAAGCAGATAGAAACTTGCTTATATACCTAATTCAGTAATTGTTTCTATGTTTATTATATTTTAAAAACGCACTCATTAGTTCAAAGGTTCCAATCCAGTTCATTTTTCTTTGATTTGAACCACCAGGTCCTGACCATAGCTGCTACCTTGACGTGGTGGTCGGGCTTGCCTATCGGGATGACCCAACTGAGCTATATTGGCTGGAACATATGTCCCTGAAGGTTCTATCATGCCAGGCAGGTCGATTGGAGAACGACGGGACTAAAAGCAGCTACTCAAGGTCTGAGGGCGAAGTCGTACTGCTGACTGAAGAAGGGTGTGACAGTAGTAAGGATTTTCCCTCGGACAACCAGCATCTGCAGTGATGCTGCCTTCTCACAAGGAAGGAAGTGTTAGAAAAGGTTGACCGTAAAAATGTTACACCTCACTCTACTTCATGGATATCCGTCTCCGTAGGTAAGGGTGCCCACTAAGGGCTTTTAAGAGCAGAGCCAGTATTCAAAAAACCTTTAATAAAAAGGCCGTGCGTGACCGGCCTCAAGCAGTTGTCCCTTGAGCTCTGCGGTCACGCTCCCAGGTCGTTATGACCGACATTATTCTATCTTCTTTTTCAGGTTCCTCAAGAACCACCAGGTAGAACAGTTGGGTCCCCTGTTGCAAAGGTTATGACTGAACCCGAGTACACAAGCATCTACTGCTGGTTGGTGATAAATAAAACAATTCGGACACACATCAACATATACAACTCTATAACATATCACAATAAATGTGAACTTACCAGATTTGTCGTGATTCTTGATGGAAGGAACTTCAGTAACACAACTGTGATCACCAATTACAAATAATTTAATAACTTTTCCGTTATGTTTGATAAATTGCTGAACAAATATAGGGTATGTTAAACTATCTAAGCCTGATTCATTGAAAACAATAGCTATCTAAACAGAAAAACATTTAGAATGGTTAAGAAAAACAACAGGGAAACTGAGATGAATTTAAATGCAAACATTAAAGTAATAATAATATGTTATTACTTTTACAGTGTATAATTGAAAAACAAAGGTATCAGGCAGAGGTCCTTAATCATTTTGGCGAATATTAGCTGTCAACCATATGTTAAGTTACAGCTACGCTGTTATAGTAATTTACACTTACTAGATAATAAAAAATCCACTTGATTCGAGGAAAGATAGAATATCAATATGTTTGCACCATTACGGTCAGAGTGAGTCGAGTTACAAGAAGTTTTACGACCCCTGACACGTGATACAAGAGTAGGTGGCTGTAAATAAAGCCACATCTTAGTCTTGTCACTTTAAGTTAAATTTCATTCTAATCTTCACTCAAATAGCATCGCATTATTTATTCATATCCGACTGTCCAAGTATATGGCCTTATTAAATGGCCTACTCCTTTTGCAACGCTAAGAAGAGATGTAGTCAAGCCTGCAGTATTTGCATGTTTTCCATCCTTAACAACTATGTCACACAAAAAAAGATGACTGCTATGAACTATATTTCTTTTGAATAAAGGAATATATGTTGTCGGATATGTAAGTAGTAATTCTTGGAAGGTATTAGATAGGAAGACCATACTCATGCCAAAAAATTTTCAGTGACCAGCTTCTCAACTGATTCGACTACATCGAAACCTATCAACGAACTAATTGTAAAAGCAAAACAATCTTATAGCATTATCTTAAATTCAATAAAATCATAACAAAGAACTTGAGGGACTCGGGATCTTTTCAGTGATTTCGCCTGGCAGAACTATGCCATTTGCTTACTCTCAATCGGCCAGAGGATTTTCAGGTATGAGAGTAGTTCCAGGAAATTTTAAATTTGACATATTAAATTCAAGTTTGTTCACCAGAAAAGTTGGACAGGAATTGTGGCAGTGAACATCCACGAAGAGACTACTTATTGTCACCTTGGATGCCAACTCTCAACGAGGCATTAAATAACTGTGGGTTAAAAAAGTAGCTTGGTTAATATAATATATCGACTTGATATTTTAATGCTAACATTATCACACGGTTTATGGCAAGTGCAAGGTCTCCTTAACCATTAAAGATCTTGAACATTGAAGACGTGGTCAATTGATCTCATACAATAACTGAAACAATAAAAATCTTGATGAGTTTTATGTTCTTGAATATGCAAATGCTATTCAGTAGCCATGGAAAGATAACTGTATTAGACTATAAGCTACACATGCCATAAAACCGCCAAGAATATTATACAACTCTTTAAACCTCAGTATATTTATTAGAGTTTAAACCAGTGACTTAATAGTGAGAATCGATTACTTGGACTTTTCGATTGAAAATTAAAAAGTATGAGCTCCGAAGTCATAATGACTAAGTTAAATAAGTAGTTGTTACAGTAAACTCCATGAAAACACAACTTGATTTTATTAAATGAACTGATAGAAGTAAAAATACAACTACCAAATCCATTTCGTATCATTCTGTTTACAAAAGTGAAATAGCTGTATATATTTACATCCTTATACTATGATACGAAACACTGTGGAGTAATGTGAATAGTTTTTTCCTGATAAGGTTGTTAGACAGTAAAACATTTTTCCCGTTTCATAACTAAGATAACGCACTGCTCCTTAAAAGACAATTTTTTAGACAAAAGTAATATTTGAATCCAATCCTCATGATTTAGATACATAACAAAAGCTGTGTGAGTGATGAAGATCCAAGTAATCATTAAAGAATTCAACTGATGAGATCGAGATGAACATTATTTCATGCCACCTGTTCGATAAAATTAAATAATAAAGACAACTAACGTGCGTACTTAATAGAGCATACTAGTTTATCTGTTACCTGAGTAATTGGCTGTATTGTATATAAGGATGATATTGCAGAGGAAACGTACGAAATTTCCTGTTAGGAATTATAAAAATGCTTGCGAACCAAAAAGTGATGCTGATTAGCGCTACAAGACCAAATCTTTTCTCATAAATAATTTTTAGAAGATAACCATGGGCCAGAAACAAATACACAATTGTGATTAAAATGCATAAAAATAAAATTACTTTTTGTTTCCATGGTATACTACACTAATACAAGAATAGGACTGCTGATTGAGATTATATTACCATTAGATTATATATTTGATCGATGAGGTATCAAAGAGTGGATCACACTATGCCAGATACTAGAGTCGTGACCGAAAATGGCGAACCGGAGCACACGACGGACAACAGTCTATTTGACACAAGCAGTCTACGCTCAGTGAGTTCAGAGTAGAAATCAGTTATAAAAGAGAAATCACACTAAATTATGTCTTTCAGTCCCAATTCGATGGCCAGTCACATTTGCTTTTACTAGGTACAGCTGTAATAAAATCAAAAGGACTCCCTGAAGTGGTGGTAACTCATCCTACGACATAAACCACGCACCACAACGAAACCAGTGTTAATACTTACCCCGATTTACAATCTTATCGTTTTTATGCTAATCTTGGCTACATTCAAATACCAAGTCATCATCTGACACTGTTTTTGTCAATGGTAATACAGTAATTAATAAAAAGGTTGTTCTCCAAATTACTCAACACCAGTGCTTTAGATCTTGATCAAATAACAGGTACGTCAAGACTGAAAATCAATTTTGGTTAACAGAGTTGAATAATATTATCTAGTACACAAATCACTTGGCTTATGGCTTAGCAATGCGTATTGTCTTTCGCTCTGCTCTTTTAATATGTCCCGTCGCTACGGATGTGGCGAGAGAAAATTTATCGTAACTTAGAATAACTAACCAAAAAAATAACCTAAGTGGATACAGGTTAACGGATGTTATAAAAGGATATAGATAATATTAAGTGCGAGCTAAATAACATCCATAAAATCTAATGCTACAACGTTAAACTGAAGAGCTCCATTTAGTATAACTCAACATTTGAATTCGGAAGCTATTCAGCGATTCTTTGTCTTTCTTAGATAAGCAGAAATTCGTTTTGTTACACCTTTTCCAAGTTCTTCAAGTCTATTCGCATTTACGCAAAGTGAATTTCTTTATGTTTACTAAAGTTCGATCTAAACTAGGATAATCTAGAGGACGATATACTGAGTAAGATGGATGTACGTGACAACAATAATTAATGGCTAAAGTCCTAAAATACCATGATGAAATACAGGTTAAAGTGACATAGAAGGGGTTAGTTGTAATCATACACTTAAAGACGAATATTTTTCAATTTTTGTCATATGTGTCCTTTACTTTTCGTTTTTCTTATTTCTCAATTACACTAAATTTTCTTTGTGAAAGATTTAAAAGTATAAGTACTTAAGTGAAATTACCATTTTACTATCTTCTGCATTGTTTTAGCTAGTTTAGTGAAACCTCACCGGTGGTGAAAACAGTATTCATTTCAGCTAAAATTCTAAATTTTAAAGTTTAGACTGCATTATTCGCACATTCGATTAAAAATTTGGTTCATATATGTATATATACCCACTAGGTAGTAAAATGAAAGCATATGTTTTCAGACAATTCATTTTGAGGAGTTATATTCTCATACCTAAACACTGATTATTTGCAACTAAACTTAAAGCCTTCAAGAATATTATATATATGGTTTTTGTTATAGCGTACAAGTACAGGTACAATATTCAGCGAGCTATTAAAAATAAATACTGGATGAATTAAAATTTAGAATATCAAAACAAGTGATTGGATGAGAAAAGTCACTGATCAAGTAAAATGACAAGCTAATGCTTAACTAAAAGCTTAACAAATAATAAAAGATAAGTTGTTTGAAAGGAAGACATTTGAATGTCACAAATTCATCATATATGATGTCATAAAGAAAGTGAAGATATATTAGGAAAACACAATCTTCTGGAGTTTTTTCCGAATTATTTGACCACTGAGATTTCGAAGATTTCTTCGTATATGCACTCGAAAAGTCTACACGATCACTACCGGATAATATTTTCTAGAAAAGTTTCAGCTGATTCGGGATTAATTTTGTCCATGGTCCCTGAAGTGTCTTGAGACCAGTGTTGAACAATCTGCCGGTTTCTAGCTGGAACCTTTATCTGATGATACTTTTTACCTTTTTTAATTCTTAAATCAGAACATATCTATACGAAAACTATCTTCAACTGCACAAGAACAAGCTAAATAGATTAAATACTCTAGTTTGCTCCTCAAACATACGCTCATGAATAAGAAATCACTTATGAATTGATCTGCTGTGAACTGGTTATAACTGTTACAACAAATATAATAAGACAACTTTAAAAGGGTGCTTAAAATACATTTAAAATAATAGAATCTTTCTAAAATAACTATGTATAAACGATCTAAACAAACACTTGGGTCAATCAGTAATCAACAAACACATCGATATTGACCCAATTTACCAACCAATCAAAACGAAAGTGCAAACAACGACAGGTTTAAGGTCAACAACCAGTCAAGATCGAGGTTAACAGAACCAGCTACGTGGAGAAATTCGAATACTTTACTTCTATCTGAAGTTATGCTCATGATGTTGTTCAGAGGAACAACGAAAGCTCCACAACCAAAACATCCAGCTCAGAGGACGAAACACCACCATAAACAAATTTAATCTAAACATTTATTACTGCCAAAAGATTTTGGCGCATCTCCATGTACCAGGTTAAGTTACTTAGTCGACCAAAAAATGTTTACGAGAAATATATTCAGATGAAGTTCTGATGTTTTAAGTGAATTAGTTGAACCTGATAGATTCAGTCAGTCAGTCAGATTATTATTCTGAAGTTCGTGTTTTCCTGGTTCACCGGGAGTATCATTAAAAGGTATACGTAGACTACTGCTAACATAGTAGTAGATTGGCTTCCGGAGTTTAAGTCTGCATTATTTCGGGAAAATACTAGAAATTACACATATCGAAAATATCGCATAATTTGTCAAAAGGAAAGTTATTTAATGTAACGACCTAATTAGCTTTTAATAATGACTAGTGCTCAAATATGTTTCAGACAATTCCTAATTAAAAGAAAACATTCAGTTAACAGTACACTTTATGGATAACTAGTATTTAAATGACGCGGGTTAAGTCAGTAAACCGGATTAAATTAGCGCACAGAAGAATTCCATTCATCAACTTAGAAAATAGGAAAGTTTCAATGGGTTCGCACTAGCACTCCAAAGCTCCATCACATTATTCGCCATAATTAGTGTTTATAAATATATACACAAATGGTTAAAGATAATAGGCATAAATAGAGTATAATGAGCGTAAATTTCCTAAGGAATCATACTTTAATAAATCTAAGCAACTGAATATACCGAATAGAATCAACGTACCTTGTGTACACTGTCTTTTCCATGAGCCATTATTGACTTGCAAACTATAGATGAAAATCAAAGTTTAAACATACCACAAATACAAATTATTAATAAGGTGAACAAATGATTGAATGACGGAATATTAAATTAAAGCAGCTGAAATAGAAGTAAGAAGTTGAAATGCTTGCTACTGGGAGGGTACTGAAAGTTATGACATCTTAGAGTTAGTTATAATTATTATGTAAACAAGCAAGTATTACATAAAATTCTTCGTCACTAACTAGATATATTTACCTTACACCGATGCAGTTTACTTAAGTAAGAACTTGATAAATACTTTACAGTTCTTAATAAGATTTTTAAAAATGCATTAAAACTAATTTAAAGCATTTAAACGTTAAACAGTACATACGAGATGTGATTATACTGTCACGAACAATCAACGGGACTAATACCAACCTTTATTTCGTAGACACTATCTAATGGATCCTAGTTAAACTCCGCAAAATTCTTGAAGCAATCACCGTAAGTAAAGGCAGCTAATATATTATGTAAATTCAGCACCATCATTTCTATTCCGACAATAAAGATGCGGGTTAACTAACAAAAGTCAAAGGCTTATACTGTATGAAGCAGTAATTACAAGAAGAACCGTAGATTCCGAAAATAATTGTCTAGCATACTATAGTTCCGACACTTTAGATTGCTGAAGATGTCAACGAAAAAGTTCCAATATTTAACGAATGCAGAAATGAATAAGTATAATCAAAGTTAATGAACTTCTGAGAATCGACATCAGGAAACTATTTTTACCGTCAGCTTTCAGAAAAACTAGCGATTCGTTGATATAAGCCTGTTCGAGGAGAGATAAGCAGATGGGAAACACGACATTATACTCACTCTATTCAGTTTCTTACGTGTATTGTGATTTATGTTTCCTAGTTAGTTGAATTGCCCAAGTATCCTTTTCGATATTGTATGTAACCAACATCATCTATAAACTATTGGCAGAACGATTACTAAGCATGACTTTTAGTCACAGTACATACACCGTTTCATCTCACCATTCTAACACCAATGAACACATAACAATAAAATTAGGAGACGGAGTTGATATGAAAAACATAGTATATTTGTGAAATACGCCTTGATCGAATATTTAATTGTTGATGAATTTTATATGAAAATTAGAGGGTTAACGAAATAAGTGATAATTAAAAGCACATTGAAAAAATTTTTTGGTCAATAGAAATATTTAAAGGATTATTATAACTACGATAGGTTCTGTGTAAGCAAATTAGTTTTGAACACACGAAAGTGGTTGAAATTCCTTAGTGTTTAGAGCTCGTAAAAGCCTAATAATGCAACTCGGATAATTTTTTTACTAGGATTTGAAATATGCTTTAAGGTTAATCCCGTGATTAGTTTAATTAAATGGTTTGCTATCAGGATCATGACTGTTTACAACCCATCCTTACCACATTTTAGAGACCGATTCCGTATACTCCATCTTCAAAATCTATACATGGGAAAAACTTTTATTGGGGAATACAACATTTATTACAAGATTAAAACTGAATTTCCCATGAATTTCAGGATGTTTCATAATATTTTACTGCCAAGTTAAATTCAGATTTCACAATTAGTGATAGAAACAAACCACAAACAAAGACACAACACTGGTGTTAACTAATTCTAACGTGGGAGAAGCAATTTCAAAAATCAGACTATACAAACAGAACTAAGGTTTTTCAAGTTTAGGATTTTTAAGGATTAATATATCTCAAAGTTTAAAAGACCATACAATAATAATAGGAGTCTACTAAAAATTCCCAAATCAATGACTCGTCAGTTGGAATTAAATTCTATTTTCATCCTAAAAAGACCTTTTACATTTTATCTGTATTTCGAATACAGGATAACGAAAGGTAGCTGTGTTAGGATATTCATCCAATATCCTAGGAGAATTATTGGTTAGTTCCTACTGGTAAATTTTATGATCGTCCTAAATATCAATGTCACGTACTTCAATGTTGTTTCCTATTGGCCGTCTTAACTGTCAATGTCACAGACTTCGATGCCGTTTCCTATTCAACCTAAATGTATAAATACGCATTATCTGTAACGTTTTAGAAGCCGGACCGGGATCCGTGTCTTCTTTTGGACTCGGACCTCGTACTTTCTGGATGTTTGAAGAATACAAGCTCTACTTCATATCAAGTCTTCTTCCTTCACTCAATGGGGGTCGGAACACTCGGATTAGAGTAGCATTTCGTGTCACCTGATCCTCGATCTTGTTTCTCGACTAAGGTAAACTCGTAATGATTCAAGCATATCAGTTTGACATGTTTACGTGCATGCGTAGCAAGCTGTTTGATACATCCTATAACGGAGGTACTCATGTGATTTCTTCTCTCTTCCCTGAAGTACAGCACTATAAGTTTGATTTGTACTTCAAATAATAAGGATACTTTCGAAATATCCTCCGAACAATCAACTAATCAGTAGCAACGTAGAAATTCGTACGTACAAACATCAGTTCATGTTGCCATACCACATCAGCACACAGATGTAATTGTCAATTCAAATCCCATAGTAGAAGGGGTAACAAAGGTATTAGCAGTATTCGGAGTTCGAAGGTATTACTCAAGAAGTAGAATCTAGTGAAATAAATTTAAATAGATAAAGATAAAGTGATGAGGAATTCAGAAGATTAGAACTTCAGAGAACAAAAGGATTGGATGCATCTGCGCCATCGCAAACGATTTTGAGCCAATGTGATTCAAGGTCTCAAAACATCGGTTACTTTCGTATAGCGGACACCAACCAGGTAGCCTACATCTACCAACATGACTCAGTCCACTTGTCAGCGACTTCATGGATTTCTGCCATGTTTTCTTCTGGTCACCCCTAACTTTCTTCCAACTTACTCCTACACCACAAAACATAGCTCGTCGAGGCAGTCGGTGGTAGGGCATACGTAACACATGTCCCAAACACCTCAACTGGAGTTTTTCTACTTCTTCTATTGATTTCCCATCCCTGTCTAGTACTCGTTTCCTAACGGCAGCACTGCTTACTCGGTTGATCAAGGATACACGAACAATACTTCGAAGACATCTATGACCGAGAACCAGTAACCTAAGAATGTTTTCTACTCTTGCCGGCCATATTTCGCATACGTAGAGTAGGAAAGAGAGAACTGTTGCGTCGTACACTCGATCTTTGGTTAGCAAACGGATATCTCGCCTACGCCATAAATGACGCAAGTTGGCAAAAGCCAATCGAGCTTTCTGTATCCATGCTGAGATTTCGTCACACACCAGACCATGAGTAGTGATGAGACTCCCGAGATAAGTGAAGCGGTCAACGCACTCAACTGCTTCACTCCCTATCACTAGTTCAGGTGCCGATGCAAGCCAATGTTGAGGCAATACTTTGCATTTGGAGGCGGAGGATCACATCCCGAACATGTTTGCATTGTTGCTTAGGGTAGGCAGAAGACTCTGCATTTTGTCAGCATCTTCACCGAATAGAACTATGTCATCAGCATACTCTAAGTCAGCAAGCGTGTCTCCTGGGAAAAAGTCAGCTACTGAGAAGTCAGACGATGAAAGTGTCGTCTGTAAAAGCATGTCAATGACGAAATTAAACGAGAATGGAAAAAGTGGACAATCCCGACGAACATCACTCGAAGTAATCAATTCCGATGATAGTTTGTCATAATCTCTGACTCGACGATTATTGTTCCAGTAAAGAGCTTGTATAAGGTTATTATTCTTCTATGGCTCACCTGTCAGAACAACAGGGTGAAACCCTTTAAGGTCAAGGGACACAACGGTTGTCGGATGCCGAAATGTGTGTCTATGTTCTAGGATCTGATAAAGTGTAAATATTTGGGGTCCAGTCTAAGAGGGCTAGTTCTGCCCTAGGATTTAATACTATACCTATACCAGCGAGGTCATAGGAAGCAGTAGTGGGGTAAATCGAGATGCTTCTTTATTTTGACATAGTGAGGTCAAATGAATGACGCTACTCGGATCCTGTATGCGCGTTTCGGAGACGCAGCATACATCGATGGCGCAAGATTCTAAAGTCCTAGTTGGAAATTAATTGATGGAGCAGTGAACCTTCATCCGCTGAGGTGGTTGAGACATGTGTTACGTATGTCCAATCACTGACTACCTTGACGGGTGATGATGTCTAGTATCAGATTGTGCTGCAAGAAAGCCAGTTACCGTCAAACCAGAACGTGGCACAAATCTGTAAAGTCACTGACAATTGGGCTGAACCATGATGGTAAGTTACGACTACCTGGTTGGCGTCCACGAGACAAAAGTAACCGGCGGCTTGAGACTTCAAATGACATTGCTTAAAATCGTTTGCAATCGCACAGATGTATCCATTCTTCGTCTTTTCCCAAATTTTAATCTCCTGAATTCCTCATGATCTGTTTCCTTTTTTAGATTTATTTCACTGGATTATACTTTTTGAATAATATCTCCAAACCCTAATATCTCTGATTACTGCTAATACTTGTACTACCTCTACTACTAAGGGATTTGAATTGGCAATTCCATCTCTCTATGCCAATGTGGTATGGCGACTTGGGAAGATGTAAGTACGTACGGATTTCTACGTTGTAGCTGACTGACTGGCTGATATAGAAAGGATACCATCATTATCTTGACACAATGATTTTAGTTGGAAAAGTGGCATCAAGAGATCAAGGGTAAATCCAATGGAGGAGAGGATAGTAACTGCATGACGATAGTTATTTATTTATTTAAACACATAAACACTGGTAAAAAGGGTCACTGAAATATTTATGCATCATACGAATCCCCGCATTTGCACACTGATTGTAATACTTTCTGAGTGCCCATGCTGCTGCAGGTTGTTTTCTTAAAATCCCATTCCATGAGTCTTTGACCTACAGGCAATGGAGCAACGTCAGATACAGTCCCATGGTAGCCGGTTACCAGCAATAAATTCATACATAATTGGTCCCATTAGAATCCCAGAATCCATGTGTACCACTGATTTGGGATCAGGGTTTTTCCATGTCTCTAGGTGGATTTTTCCTACCTGCTGACCCTGTCAAAGCGCCAGACACTCTCTTTACGTCCTCTAAGTTTTTTAAACACTTACACCACGAGAAGGCAGTGACTAGGACTCCCCTAGTAGTGGCCATGCACGTGCAGCCATATGACAGCGATTCGAAAGTGAGAGCAGACTCTCCACTCGGCTATAGCAGGCAGTTTGAGGGCATGATAATTTCACCATAAAAAATGGTGGAGTAACTAACCCCAAGTAAACTAAAATATACCAAATGAAACTATATTTGAATTGATACTGAACCTCCATATGACAGTTTATCAACAAAAAACAAATGACCTCCCCAAACATGCGAGTTTTTGCACTGTGTAGTAATAAAAAACCACGACTGACGATAATAACCATGTATCTATGAAATATTCAACTTACCTATAGGGTAAGAAATACCAATCTCACATAATTTATTGGGATCGTTTTGTAGTAGGAGGCAGAATTTGGGCACAAATATTTCATTTTCTAATTAGGTATTGAAAAATAATATTTTAGAGAATGTGTATTACAACGAGGAATTAGTAAATATCTTTTTAAATAGATAAAAGCGATCATTATCAGTAAGTAGCATTTAAACGAGAAGAGCATATTTATAAGCAGAATTTGACTAACTTAGCTACAATATAAAAAGCTCTAAATCTGCATCTATTATACACTTATAGACTAAATATGAAACATTTATTAAAATTCATTGGCGCGATCTTACAAGCTGGTAGGAAAGATAAATTTTAAGGACAAACTATTTAAAATGAAACCATATTAAATGTGCCAGAACTGAGACCAAATATGGATTTTTGCACAAGGCTTTAAGAAACAACTGAGGCTGCGATTTAACTAATTACATAAGACAGTATTGCACCCCGCAACTAAATGACTAGCACTTGTGTTTAAATCGAACCGTCAACACAGATTTGTTTATTTACTGGATATGGCAAGTATTGCAGCAGAACTCAATAGCGTTCTTCACAACAGATAGCTGATATCCTCATCTGTGGCATGAGGTAAGTTCCACCAAAAGTACTTGTAAATAATATCGAATTTATCAAATTTAGATAAATGTACAACTGAATCTACTTGAGATTTAAACAGAAAGTAGATATTAATAGGATGAACGTTTCCAAATTTTCTGCTATTATTGTATGTTTGGTAAGCACGAAATGTTGGTGACAAGATTTCAAAAATCATATCAGGATCAGTCTTACGTTAGTACTATCGATTCATATACAGACGAGAAAATTTGTGAAACTTAATTAAACTCAGTGTTGGCTCCACACAAGTCATACCACTTTAAATATATATAAAAGTGACGAAACTTACTCATATCCAACGTCCCTATAATGTCTTGCAGCAGGCAAAATTGGTCAAACCGAGTTAACAAACATTTCAATGACGCTGGGTGGTCTATATATATAACATCCGGATTAGTCTCTGCATAGTTCTGTGGAAAAATTAAAAAAATAAGTGATTGCTGAATTACAATAAAATCGTCAATGATTTTTTGACCTTTCGAACTGTAATCCCTGCTTAAAAATTCCGGTATTTTATGGAGGATTACATCAAACGGCCCTTGTTCCGATACACTAAGGCATGGATTGATCTACGAATTCACTTTTATGAGTAAAAATTTAGCGGAAAACCTTTCTAAATATAAGATCATTTCTGTACTGACTCAGACTATACAATAAATAGCCATCTACCTTTTTTCGCACAGAAGAGTATCCAGGCCAATGCTATCTATTTTAGCGTCGCTCATCCAGACACCAACGACCTTCATCTTAAAATACCTCACAGAGTATACACGGTTCGCATTGGGTATAGCAAAGCTTCGATGCTTCAGACGAAGTCAGTCCAATCTCCAATAACATCAAGGCCAGCAACTCTAATATAAATCGAATACCTTTTTCACGAGCTAGTATAAACCAGTTGATTTCTTTGAGCTCAATTCTTGTCCTTTTGCTACAGTTCCAGGTACTTGGTAGTCGCCTTTTCTATAGACCACTTTTGATTAAAAGATGCAGTTTCAAAACTTCTGAAGCGCTACATATACACTGCCTTTTCACTCGACTCAACTAGTGTCTATCCAGATATTTAGAAATTGATGTATCATTGTCACTGTTTAGCCTGCGTAGCCTGCTGACTATGATGTACAGTTTCCAATCATGCACTTAGTTTAGGATAAGACAAAAGTGGCTCAGTGAATTGAACTTATAAAATCTGCATTCATATTTTCCCTTTAAAGGACAAAAAACTGACCATCGATCCTTTTCGTATAATCTTCTGTTAATTTTCACTTTCATTTAAACAATTCAGCTGAAGTTTGAAAAACCAGTTCGTTTCAAGAGTAGGTTTCTGAACTTTAGGCTAGTCAATGAATGTCAAACTGTTTGCTAAACATAGTCAAGGGCGAGGACGAACAACGAATATCGTTCAATTTCTCGTCAAAAACAGGCACTTGCTGCAGTGGTTCCTCCTTGTACCTCTGTCAAATGTTGATAGTAATGAATGTTCTAGTAACTCGCCTGGTTATGAAGATAGCATAGTCCAGGTTAAGCACTATTCTCTTGGAGTGATTTCGATGTGCGCTAGGAGGTCACACTATCCCCGTCAAACTGGAATAGGCCTACAACCATTGAGACAGATCACATGCAGTTTTGATCTACAACAGAAATCAGGTTACAGTTTATTTCTTCCTATCCTTTACAACAAAAATCAGTAGCCTTCTAACTGGGAAGCTCCTGAATAAGCTGAGTACTAGCTTCTACACTTTTTGTAGATATGCGTTTTCTTTTAAGCATATCCCTTTTCTGACACTCGGGTATCTAATTACTGACGAGAAGCAGGGATCTGTTGAGCAGTTATTGCTAGTATAATAAGTCTCCAGAATGTTATGTGATCCATGTGTCTGACATTTTGTGTCTAGGCGTTATCTCAAACACCAATGTGAGTACTCAGTATTTTGCGTCCCCTCGAAATTTCGGAATGTAGCCTATCACATTCCTTTTATTCCAACCAACCTAAATTATTTGCAGTAGTTAACAAGCAACTACTCCCGATGTTCAACTTAGCTGACATAAATTTTCAGCGTCATTAGTTTCTTCGATTCTCGATATCGGTGCTGCTGAACATTAAGTTGAAGGCTTTCAGCCAAGCATATACACCTAGATCACGTTTGAGGAGGCTGTGCTGCACATCAACAACAACTATCCACTCTGAGTTATAAAAATTTTGATATATATACAAATTTTTAGTCATGTATCATTACACCTGTAATAGGATGCGTGATTCCGAGTTCTGAGAGCGACAGGTTCTAACCCCACAAAACTGGTCGACTGAATGAGAAGGCGATGAGCATTAGGGAAGGTCCATTCGTCCATCAAAAGCTATGAACAAACAGTCGTCTTCATCTATGTATTCGCTTCCCAAGAAATAAAAGCCATTTCTGAACCAATGATATACATTTGTCCTTTAGTAGACTATCTGATGGTAATTAAGTGACCTTCATATTAGATCACTTCTGATTAGCCCAGTATACCACCTTATCTGGGCAGTAAAATCCATGATTCAGATGTGAAGGCGCGGATCGGCAAAGCAAGAGCAGCATTTCTAAACGTGAACAATTCCTGAAACTCAAAATGACTATCAACCAACTCCAAAATCAGAATTTCCAATACAAATGTCAAGAGAGTTCTACTGTACGGGGAGGGGGAACTTGAAGAACTAAGAAAGCCATTATACAGAAGATTTCAGTGCTCATTAACAGATGTGTACGTAAGATGGTCCGAATCCCGCAGTCAGACACCATCAGCAACAACCAACTGTGGGAGAGAACAAACAAGATTCCAGCGAAGGAGAAAAATCAGGAAGAAGTGGTGGAAGTGGATGTGACACACATGGTGGAAACCATCCAACCGCGTCACAAGACAAGCCCCCACCTGGAATCCTCAAGGCCAGGGAATACCTTTGAGGAATGTAGATAGACATGAGAAGGAACAGTAATTGGATAGAACTGGAAAGGGAGGCCCAGGATAGAGTATTCCGAAGAATGCTGTTAGACGGCCCACGCTCGATTGAGGGTCAAAGTAAATTAAGTAATCACCCAACTTTATAAACAACTAGCATGGCTCCTAGGAGTTATCTGAAGGCGCTGAGTGAATTGCCGCTACCCCAAAAGTTTTCCCGGTCACTCACTGTTAGTCCTTTCTCACTGAATTCTGTGCTCCACAATCAATGTATCAATCAGGCGAACCAGTTTAAACTTAGTCGTCCATCCCAAATATGGTGTGCATGTCAGTTACTACTATCCCCACGAAAATGGTTGCTGTCACTAACTCTTCTTAAATCGACACCTGTTAACTAGCCAGGTTCCTACTGTCGGCGGTTTCTCATATACACTGTAAACCGATATGTGAGTTGATATTACATTCTCCTTACTTTAGGTCTAGAGCATAGCGTTTTTTGTTCCAAAATGGCTTCGGCTTAGAAAAATCTATTCGGTCAGTCTTGATTCGGTGCTATTCTATTTATTTTTCTCCGTTGTGTTCTCTATTTGTGATCACTATAAAAATTGATTAAAACTTCCACCTCGACTTGCTCATCATAAGAGAAAAGAGAGACTGTTATAGGATCAAACGAACTGGTTCATTACAATAACGATTAGGTTGCTGACCGAATGTTATTAAATTTGGATTAAAAGTAAAACTGAAAGGCTAGTCAAAACATTTTAAAATCTATAATCTAGGTGAGATGCAGTAAATGGGAAGATTCACCGGTAACACAACGTCTGTATTTGATAATCAGATCACTACATTTAGCAATTTATTTTATAGTACCAGAGACATTTACAGGAATCATCGATGTCTTCCTTATGCAATGGATGATTGGCCAACCAAGCTCATGCCAAAAGCGGTATCAAACTGTAATGTGACAGCGTGATGGTTAACATTGATTGACGTATTAAGGGTTAAAATTTGACAAAGCCTGTGCATGGTTGGCTTCGTAGATGTTCAATATGATGAGGGGTCCTTACGCCTGCATAAGCGCTCCTTGTAACCCGTTGCTCTGCACAGGCCCAGTTTAAGTATTTGCGAGCTAGCAAGATGCCTAATTTTTGTTTAAAACATTATATCTAATGGAAGTAATTGCTTTCTTACTTTATGTAGAATTTATATATTACGGTGTCAGATTTTGGATGCTGAAAGGTCTGTTGCTTTGCCAAATAATATTAATAATTATAAAAATAGACATCTTTTGAAATGTGTTACATGGAGCATACCAGCTTACAAGAAGTATCAAGATTTCCTCTTCTACACACTAGCTCATCTAACGCAACCACAGCTCCATCAGTCGGCGGCAGCGAAAATAGCATTGCTGAATTTCACCGTGATCCTGACGCCAATGTTACTTTTGACCTGTGGTTACGGCGTCATGAAGATCTATTTAAATTTGATTTCGCCAACTAAGATGATGCTGGGAAGGTTCGGCTGATACTTCGAAAGTCGGGTGCAAGTGAGCTGCACAGGTGCTTTAATTTGATCCAGCCTTTGAACCTACCAGATTTCTCATTCTCAGATACCGTCTGCACATTAGGTCAACAGTTTAGTGACAATTCGTTACTGTTTAATACTCATTATCGATGTTTGAAGCTAGTTATGAGTGAAGACGATGATTTTCCTACGCATATGGCCATCGCCAACAGTGAATCGTACGTTTCCGGTTGAAGAACCACTTAGATGTCTTTTCTTTTCACCCAGTCTACCTACTTGAGGATCGAAGTCACCTGCTATGAAAGCACATTTGATGTAGACAAAATTATTTTAAAAACATATCCAAGAAGAACATTGGAAAACTCACATTCGGATCGAAATCTATAGCCGTAACAGCAGCATTACAACCAACGAGGGTTGAATGGACTTCACACTTTCCTAATTTCGAAAAATAAGCAACAACATAAGCATAAAGACATTTGCATAAAAAAATATTCTACCAAGAAAATGTAAATGATACAACCTGGAAATTTTCTAATGTATGTAGTACACAAGTCACTCAAAAATAATTTGAACCCAGAATATATGACTGCTCATAATTCAAGAAGGCTCCATTTTCACAGTGTAATAAATTTTTTCCTACACAGTTAAAAAGTGAATACCGTTTAGGAACGTCCATAACCGCAGTTTACGATCAAATCCTGCTGATCCGAAAATATGGCCTGATGGAGTGAATCGGACACTGTTAACTTCACTTTCATTAGCATCCTAGAAGTGACAATAACATGAATGTGGATAGATAACTCACTATTTTAACAGCAACATTACGTGGAAGTGCAGACTTGCAAGGTAATGGTTTATCCAAACGATCACTGAAAAGTCACAGAAGATAACGAAATCAAACCCATCAGTGACGAATATGGTTGAATTAACTGCATCTTGAAGATTCTTACGGATAGTTTCTTGAGTTTTTCTACAAAATGCTGAATTAGATTGGACTTACCTATACTGTATATCATACTCTATATTCTTCAACCTTTCAACAGTATTTTGTAGAGACTTGACTCTTTTTATAAGTTGCAGGTTGTCATCTTCAAGTTGTCTGTTTTTAGTTTCTAGTGCCTTCATGGCCATTAGGTGTGAAGCCTGTTCATCTGTAAGCAACTGAGAATACATGTTGCAGAACACCAATACAACACACTTCTTTAGTTTCTTCCAGCTCCTTAACCTTATCCATCAGGTGATGATTCTGCTTTTGGTTAGCTTTAAGGCACTCCTCCAACTCTGAAATCCTGAACAGCTCATTTTAATAACTGTGAAACCAACTTCAAAGACTTTGACTGAAGCAAAGTGTCTTTTTCCTGAAGGACTCGGTTTAAATCAATGACATTTTGCGCCAGCTGGTATTTTATAAAAAAATGTTTCAACTTACATTCCCTTTTTGACGATGTAACTCAGTAACCTCTTCTTGAAGATGAAACACTTTCTGTTCATAATCGTATGATTTGACGGACTTTCTAAAGATTTTTGTATCAAATGAAGAAAACATACATTTTTTCAAATTCAAGCTGTACCGTAGACTTTTCTTGTTGACATAATGTTAACTCACGTACAAGCCGTGTGTTTTCTCCCTTTAGTTGTACCACAAGTTCCTTATTTGAGTTGTCTGTAGTTAAAAATTAGATCGAATGCAAACAAACACTGAGCAAAAATTTCATTAAAAAAAGACTTTTCAACAATATCGCGTTCAAGTAATGATGACAATATAGCAGCTTTCCACGAAGGTTCCTCTTTTTCCATTTAAACAGCCACAAGGCCACACCTTTGTATTGGGCGCTCTGAAACCTTCAATACATATGGGACTTCATGAAATAAACCAAATAGTTTACTTCAGATCTAATCTTGATGTTAAAGAATATATGAATACGTTAGTTATCATACAGTAATGGTATTTTGGCTACTTGACCTCAGTTTCCTTTTTGAATTGGACAGATGTAATGAAAACAGTTCTCATTATGAAAGTAAGAAAGCTAGAACAAATAAAGCTAGAGTAATGCGAATTTATTAGACTTTTCGTTTTCGCTATTGGCCGCTTGCGACTTAATATGATAAAATGTGGCGGTAAGAAGTGACATAATATGAACGATTGGCATTGATAACTGATGGAATCAGGTTGATGATATATATAGAGATATAAAGAGAGAGATGTGCAAGAAAAGTGTCTTTGATTTTGCCATCTCAGCCGAGTCATTCATTATTTTATGTACTTTAAAATCCTCTTTCCATTCACTGGTATATCTGAAGCTGCATAAACCTCTTGAACTCGTACCTACTAGTTAAGTTAACATTTAGTACATATTCCAGATAATTTCTATCTCATTATTCTAGACTTTATACATTTATTTTCGTGTGGCTTAAAACGTGCGTGAACCTTTTAAGTTTATCATATGATCCGGCTTATCGTTTTTTGCACGTCGTCCATTTATTGTATAATCTCCTCCTTTGTTTTCGAACTCCAACTGTTTAGTGGAGTTAATTCGTGAATAAGTTGTGACGAAAACGACTGGCAGGGTACTCCAAACATGACAGAACAATAGTATGGATAGATGGAATCTTTTAAACTATTTTCTCTTCGGTTATCTGATAATTTGACTCAAAAATCGTAACTGAGTGATCCAGATACACTTTGTTTATTTTGGTAACTTGAGTGACCCACAATTTCGTACGTGATAAGATTATTTCCTTCTCTGCGTATAACATTTTTTCCTATATTTCGTTTCATCAAACTATTTGAGCTGCATCTAATGTTTCTGTGTATGAGTGAATAAGCCAAAATCTTCTAAAGTCTTCTGAAGTCGCCTTTCTCGGATTTGACACATTCTAGCTCTACTGTTCAAGTCTACTCAACTTCTCTTCTATCCACTTGACACTCTCCACAACTCTTCCTTCTTCATTGTTGAACTCCTTCATTTGTGAGTTATACGCTTATATTCCCATAAATTACTTTTATTTTAGCGGTCAGTATGAATTTTATCTTCACTTACCACTACTGGCTACTTCAACATGACAGGTCAAGTAGTAATTTGGTTATATGTAAACACTTCCTACACTGCTGCTTTTTTTCTCTCACGCTTTTCTTCCTTTTCAGAACCCTATTCACAGTGGAAAATCCATGGCGCCTCTAGGGAACATGCATTCTGTGTACATGCAGTCTGGATTACAGTTTGTATCAAGCGCGTTCCAATTGATCTTTTCCAACAAATTCACTAATGATCTCAGCAAACCGCCCAAGACACCTACTGTGCACCTTCCCTGTTTGTACCCTCCTATTGAAAATGTGGCTGTATTATACTGTTTCTGTCAGTGACATGGTGTGAATCTGCTATCACAAACTGACTCTTATACTTAATTTAACTGTGGTAACTTTTACAGTAAATGTGAAAGCTTTTGATCTAGCCTGTAAACTGGCATGCCCCTTATAACGTATTTATTTGAGAATAAATATTATTATTATAGAGCGCTGAAATTGACAATAAAAGCAAGTCACTAGTTATCACATGATAACTGTCAGTCTAAGGATGTAAGGATTTATTAATCTCATTAAAAACATCAGCCCGATTGCGGAATTATGAATGAGCGTTGATGAGGAATCTCTTTCTGTCACGAACGGGTCATTCAGTGCTTCCTGGCTTTCAGTGGTTGTTCAAATAACTCTTATATATATTGTTCTCGGAAGGATGCAATCAATAAACAAATTAATTTTAATTTTTATTTCAAAACCAAAAAACAGATATGGTGTAAATCAAACCATTTTCTTTTTAGAAATAATGTGTTTCGTAATCGGCAGTTGGTTTATTCGTTTAGTTAGATAGACAGATGAATAACGTTAAATACTTTTAGGTTTCAGGAATGTAAGTGCTAAACATTTTGCTTTTCGGATTGTTGGGCATTTTAACACATATGCATGCTTGCTAAATGGTTCATATACAGAGGGTAATGCGTAAGAATATCTTGCTTACGCGAAAATATAGAAGCTACGACGCTTACGTTGCATGACATTCCTGTCAGTGTAGCAAGAAAGTACATTATTATGAAGATATCTATGTAGTGTTAAACAGGTTTCGAATAATTTTTTAACTTATCCTTAGAATTGTAATTCCTGAACTTTCCAATGAAAATTTAGGGTTAAATCAGAACAAGATGAGTTCAATATCCAAAATCCAAGATCTTTTTCACGAGTTCGTGTAAACCAATTTGATTTCAAGGAGCTCGATTCTTGTTCTTTCGATACGGTTCAAGGTGTTCGGTAATGTCCAATGGATGGAGGTCTAGCCACTCGATTGTCTAATTCTAGTCAGTTGGCAGTTGGTTGTGAGTTTGTATGTCTCGGGATTTGAATCAAAGCGTTTGTTTCAGGACAGTAGGGTCTCTGAATACAAGCAGACGCCACATTACCAGACCGGAGATCAGTTAGTTGCAATGTGGAGAGTAATAAGGACAATAAGGATAAAATTCTAATGAAAATACGGATAAACTTTCAGAACAGAGAAATAAAAAGATGAATTTAAATTGTTAGTTGGTAGTGACGATTGTGAGAGAGAACCGAAGTATCAGCAAGGGAGAAGAAACAGAGATCAAAGGCGAGATAGATTAATCGAGTGATCTGAGGAGATGGAAATGATAACAACCAGCAGGTTTCGTTTATTAAGAATAAAATGATGCTCGGCAAATGATTATTTTCTTTTCTCTCCTAACTGCATCGATAACAACTCCACTTTTGCTTCAGAAACGAGTATTTCATGAAATTATTCATGTTAATAAATTTGGCTCAAGCAAACAGAATGAACTTTGTTGGACAATACGGGCTCACTTATCTCGCTCTTACTCGTCAACTGATGCCAACCAAAATATAACAGCACTAATAATAATATGTATTCTCAGATAACAGCCTGTCAATCCTATTTGGTCTCTTATAGGTTTTCGAATTTCGAATTTGTTACAATGACTATATGAATAAAACAGTGGCGTTTAAATCCTGCAAAATTCCGTTATATTGTACTCATATTACACTGCAGAAAATTCTAATATATGGTACAAGATTTTATGTTCCCAATTGTTCACGTCCGTAATTATAAGGATATAACGGTAACATTTTTCACGTGGTATAGTTTTCTTCGTAAATTTATCATTCGTAGGGTATTATACTGATTTAGTAAAATTATCTGTTATACCCTGTGCAGTTTGCTCCTAGAAAGCGAACCTTCTAAGTTTTTAATCAGTTAATGCATGCTTGTCGTAGACTAGCATTCCGAAGTACCGATAGAAGTTTGATGACGTTCTTAACTTCTGAATACACCAGTTTAAACCTACTTATCGACTGACAGTGATTCTTACACTTGATAACTGAACGTCTTATCTATGAAATCTATCTCTACCGGCACTGATTTTTAGTATTAACCCAGTTAATACACAACAAGTTATACCCTTATATATCTGCGTTAATTAGACAGGCAATTATCACACTCAGTTTTCCATTATGACCAATAATTTGAGTAAAAGAGAAATGTCTCCAACTTCTAAACCACCCAGTCAGTCAACCCTATGTCTGATGAATCTAATACTGGAAGAGTCACACCTCCGTCTTGTAAACCCTGTACCTCTTATCAACAAATTTCATCATCTTTAGCCAGTAATCTGTGTGAAAACTCTTCACTAAGTATTCCAACGGTAAAACTCGTAGATATCAGAGGTGCCATACCCACGTATACCGAAACGTCAACACAGAATAAACTTCAGCATAATCTTGTGAAGCCAAAATCTGAAATTTCACAAACCAAGGAGTTGGATGATCCATCCGAAACCGATCACAGTAGTAATAACCATGGCAGAGAGATACGACAATTACAAAACTCACTTGCCCAAATTAACGATAAGCTTAACCTGTTAGCACCCCTCACGCACAAATGGGCCTCAACTAATGTCGGAACCTCGAGGAATTAACCAAAGCTGAATAGATCCTAGAGTTTGTAGCTGAGGAAGTTACAAAAAGACTAATGTCTTCCTGCAGTGCGATTTCATATAACCTCCCTGACCGCACATCCTCGACGTCACTAAGGGATACCTGTCACTTCATACCACATGCAGAGTATAAAGGCACTCCCGTTGCACAATCTCAAACAGGCAACGTTCTCCCCTTTCCCCCGGGCTGACAACCCCTTCTGTAGATTTTAGTAATTTACTTAACATGTACCCTCTGACTCCTCATACCACACCCACGTAGGTCATAGTAACTCCTTTACTCAATAGACCCTAAACTATTTTAGCTTAGCGGGACATCTGTTTAATGTATGTCTTATTATTGCTCGTTTGATCTGTAATAAAAAGACAGATCTAGTCATGTTTGCGACTATATGCCAAAGATAACTCATAGCGATAACCGAGGCATGGACTTTCAGTAATATTTCTGATCTTATTATATCTCTTGAAAACTATGATCTATTTCGCAGTGATAGGTTACGAAGAAGAGGTGGAGGATGCCTCATATATGCACACTCTAGTCTTAAATCATTCTTATGTGATATACCGGAACTAAACAGATTGCCAGATTCTGTGTGGGTCGTCCTGAAGCCCTCACATGTAGTTCCTAACGTAAAGATAATTTTGTAGACTTTACAATGTACAAAGAGAATAATTGGCTCAAGGTTCGGCGATTGCGTTACGACGATCTTTTTAATGACCGTGAAACAATGCAAGGTAAAGCCAGGTGTGCATATAACAAGAGTTGATGAGGTAAATGCGCCAAGAACTGGTTGATGACTTTAAAGGCTCCTGGGT